GCCAAATCACAGCCCTTTAGAAATAGGGAAGCAACACACACAACGACCAATTTCTTGGAGACAGCCTGCTGTACGTCAGCAGAACAGCCGGCATGCTAATCTCGCTCTCAAGAACCGCTGGGCTCCGTGGCTCCGCGTGCGTCTTACGGTGGCCTGTTTTACGGACGTCCATTCCTTTGATGAAAATTCTCCAGCGGCCACACGCGCGCTAACCCTCCCGCTAGGCAGTGGGATTCGACACTGAAAAAGTCACGATCCAGAGTCTAGACAAGACGGGGCTCTACGGACCACACTCTGCAACACGGATGGGGGTGCAGACAGCGGATCCTCCTCGGGGACCAGGAAGTCCCCTGGAGGAGGTGATGTTCTACTGATCTGATGAGGAACCAGCAGGCTGGCTGGAGGGGGAGGAGGGGAGCACGGAAGGGGTTCTGGGCACCCCAGGCAGATGGCCCTGCACAAACAAAGCCCCGCAAGGAAAGAGAAGGCGCTGGGTGTTGGAGGAACTGAAAGAGACCTAGGGAGGCTGCTTCTTGGAAGCTTAAAGTCGCAGAGGGGAGAGAAACCTAGTCTTGGAAGACTTCAAAAGCCTCAGATACCAAGGAGCAACGGATATTATCCTGGGGTACCAGAAAGCCATCAGGGGAGGCTTTAAGCAAGAGACAGACACAAGCAGATCTCATTTTAAAAACAATTACTTTGAGCCAAGCTCAGTGGTGCACACCTGTCATCCCAGCGGCTCGGGAGGCTGAGGCAGGAGGATCGAGAGTTCAAAGCCGGCTTCAGCAACTTGGCGAGGCCCTAAGCAACTCAATGAAACCCTGTCTCTAAATAATATATAGAAAAGGGCTGGGACTGGGGTTCAGTGGTCGAGTGCTCCTGAGTTCAATCCACAGTAGCTCCCCTTAAAAAGAACAATGACTCTGCAGCCTACAACAATACACCAAAGCTAGTGTCTTTCAGTGCAGTTTCAAACAATACTCTGCAAACAGCTCTTTGCTTCAATAAAAGATGGCACTGAGAGCAACTTGAAAAACCCATTTAGAGTGATTTTAATGAACCCCCAATAATAGCACCCTTCAATGATGTTTGAATATAATCCTCTGTGACTGCTCCCTGTTTTCTGTCTCCCACACTTGACTTAATGGCATGCATGAATCAGGAACCTTGACAGACAATCGCGCGCCTTCCAGGGGCCCACAGGCACGCGGAACTCTGCACACACCCACCGCAGGCCTTTCGGAAGGGGCAGGCGGATAAAGAAAGGATGGGGAAGGGGAAATGTAAAATCCTGGGTTGGGGGCGGAGCCATAAGACCCGAGCGTGCAATGCACAGGGGACATGAACAGGTGGCGAGAAGTGGGGGTGGTGGTGTGTGTAGCCATTATCATGACAGCCAGCCCTGGGGACCCACAGGTTCCTTGGAGTCAACCAACTGTGGGTCAAAAATGATTTTTAAAAAGTTGCATCTGTAATGAATATGTACAGATGGGTTTTCTTCCTTGTTGCTATTCCCCAAACAATGTAGCAGAACAAGTATTTACATAGCATTTGCATTTATTGGGTATTATAAGTCATCTGGAGATGATTTAAAGTCCACGGGAAGATGCGCATGGGTTATATGCAAATTCTCTGCCAATTTACAGAAGGGACATAGATACAGAGTATCCATGGATTTTGGTTCCTGCAAAGGATCCTGAAACCCATCTTCCCTGGCTAGTAAGGGATGGCTGTATTTCTAATTCAGTCGGAGTGGATCAAGGGCAGCACCTGCTTCCCTTTTACAACCAGTGATTTTTTTTTTCTTTTCTTGGTGTCAGTGATTGAACCCATAGGCACTTAACCACTGAGCCCCATCCCCGCCCCTTTTTAAATATTTTATTTAGAGGCAGGGTCTCACTGAGTTGCTTAGGGCCTCACTAAATTGCTGAGGCTGGCTTTGAACTCGCGATCCTCCTTCCTCGGCCTCCCAAGCCACTGGGATGACAGGTGTGAACCGCTGCACCTGGCAGAATATTTTGAAGAACACAGCTCGGTCCTGGCCACTGTATTTTGAAAGTCATCGTTAACGCACAGGAGGGAATTTATGACATTGGTCAGCTGGAAACATCCAAGGCAGCACGGTTGAAGATCAATGGCTACTGACCACTACCCCCTCTGCACTAGCGCCTTCTGTGAGCCACGGACGTGCCAGACCTGTCATATCTATTATCCCCGGGCAGGGAAGAGTCACAGTATATCTTCAGACGGGGTGAACTCTGGCCATCGATACCCAGCGGGAACAGGAGCTGGCTAAACATAACCCCGATGTGAGACATCACGAACCCAGAGATGACAAACCAGCCATCCCCTGGCCACCTAGGGGTCCTGGATGTGTTTCCTTCACCCTCAACTAGGTTTAATCTTTAGGCAGATGTTGCTGATATATTAAGAAACAGTGAGATTTCCTCTGACCCCTGATTCCCAGCTCCTCAGGGGGACTTAGAAGCGGAGCCACGCTGAGCCTCCCATCCTGGAACCCATCACCCTATTTCCAGACTGGAAAGAGACCTCGTGTGTCTCCATTTATTCTGCTGCTTCTGCCCACCGCCTTGCTCTGGCCCTGCCCTGCGTCCCTGCCCGAGCCTCCCCTGCTGACCGCCTGCAGGGCTTCTGAGGCTGGAGCATATAATAGGGTGCAGCTCATCGAGGGGGTGCCTGGCACTAAATAAGTGCTCAAGAAATCAACAATTACAGGATCAAAACAGCTGTCGTTCTCACCTTCATTCGGCTAATCACCTGCGGGGCTTGCGGAGCACAGAACCCCCGCCCCTCCCAGAGTTTCCGGTTCCTGGAATTCCTTCCAGGTGACAAGATGCTGCTGGCCCAGGGAACACCCTCTGAAAACCACTAGTCTACAGCTGCACAAGGAGCCCCCATGTCCCCTGAGGGGAACACTGGCACCTTACCTGTGGCCAAGTGGGGAGGGGAAGGAGTCCACACTTTGAGACCCCCTAAGTAGCTGCAAAGAAACCAAATGTGTCCCGTGTTGGAGATGCCAGTTTCCTGACCCACGGGTCCAGGGTTCACAAAGTCACCTTCTGGACTTTCTCCTAATGATTTAGTGAAAGTGATGAATCTGCTGAGGGCCCTGCAGGTCCTCACCCCCCCCCCCAAGTGGGCACACAGATGTTACCCTAAGGAATAACATCAGCAGGACCCAACCGACCTGTCCTCAAAACCCCTGCACCCCAGTCATTAATCCCTCGGTGACATCACTAACGTGGCAGGTCCGGAGGGCTTTGTGCCTCCTCAGCCTCCTCTGAGGAGAAACCGTCATTTGTAGCTACAGTACAGAGAAGGACTCAGTGGACCAGAGAGGGAAACTCACCTGCCCAAGTTCACCAGCCCTAGAATCACCAAGGAATCAACTCACTGTATTCACTGAGGGTCAAACGCTATTGGGAACATGGTGCCGAACCCTGTGTCTGTACTTTAAGTTGGACGTTGAGGACCTGGAGAACCACAGGCACCTGGAAGTGAGGTCACACAGGACGTGCTTATGGGCGGAGGTGGGACAAGATTTGGCCTGGACGTCCGGGATTCAAGAGCCTAAGCAAACATCTGCGAACATCTGGAGGATACTCGACAGAGAGAGGAGATCTTGCAGCAGTTGTGTGTGTGTGGTAGGGGGCTGGGCGGATTAGGTATCCATAGAGAGCCTCCAACAGTCAGAAGAGCCACAGAGGGGACCACAGATTCTTACAGACCTGCCTTCCCACACCTGCGCCCCCAGAGGTGCCCAGGGTTTTGCAAGGAAGCTGTAGAGCTGTGATTCTAACCATTTGGAACAAAGGGACGGGTCAGCACTAGACCTGAGAGACTTTGTTCCGCTACCCTCCCCCGCCCCCAGGCATTCTGGGAAGCCTCCAATTCCCGAGACCAGGTCTGTGCTTTCCCTTAGTCACACAGGGCTCAGTGCCCATTAACCTCTCTGAGTCTCCATTTCCCCTTCCACGCCATGGAACAATGGCACCTCCCCCGGGTAGGCTGGCTGCCCTGAGGATTTAATTAGATGCCACACGAGCAGCTCATCATGGGGTGCCTGGCACATAATAAGTGCTCAAGAAATTAACAATTATAGTATCAAAATAGCTATCATTATCACCTTCCTCCTAACACCGAGACCCTTACAGCTCTGGGTGTTAATGACAATATTTATGCTCCCTCGTCAGCCTCAGCCAGTGGTTTTACAACCTGTAATAAGGTCACCAGGCCTTGCTTGACTTCGTTTCACAAAGAGATATCCTCCCAGGAGAACCGCAGTGTTGATTAATTCAGGTGCAGGACTCCTCCTCCCTGGTGCTGGGGAGTACTTCCTGCTGGGTCCCGGGGAGGAAAACCGTCCCCTGGGGACACAACCAGGGAGGAATGTGACACATTCATTCTTGCATCCGAAGAATTATCTGCAGCCCTGTCTGCACCAGGAGCCTGCTGGGGGCCTAGGGCTTACTTAGCGGAGCTGCTCAGCCTCCTCTTACACAGCTCTGCCTGGTGAACAGCTCTTACTCACCCAGAGGTACCAGTGCAGGTTGCAGAATTAGATGTAAAGACTGTTGAGATAAACAACATGACCTTTTCCGTGTCCGTATGAAGGGAAAATGGCACCATGAAACCAAAGAAAGAAGGGAGGGGGGGGTGTGTGGAATTAGATCCTTTATCACCGTCCAAAAAATGGATCTGAATTCTGCTCAGCCAAGAACCGCTCCCCCAAAGCTGTCTGCTAAGACAGTTACAATAATTGAATCAATACAACAGAAACTCAATAGCAATTGTTTTTCCTGCTAGGTGCAGAAGGTGGGCTGTGCCAGGGAGTGGCCAAGCCCGTGCTGGCACCCAGTGACTTGGTGCATGAATCTGAGAGCACCTGCAGACGCGTTCAGGTAGGTGCCTCGTCGTCTACCTGACAGCCAGCGTTCAACGCATGCGCAGTGGGCAGGAGCAAGACCCGTTTTACTTACAGCTTTGGGTTTATATGGAGGCTGAATCTCCTTGCGTTCAAGTTTCTCCCAATCAATATACCGGAAAAATGCATGCTCTTTGATGTCACGTTCCCCTTCAGGGCCACAACCCAGACGTTTGCCTGGGTGTTTGGTCATCAGCTTCAAGAGAAAAAAAAAAAAAGAAAAAATAATGTTGAATCAACTTCAGAGAAGGAAATGTGAGACCTGCAGAAATTATTGTTCCAATGACTCTGGAAAGAAAGCACCATGAAGAATCTCAGGATATTTATTTATTCATTTATCTTCCTTTTCATTCCGGCAATAATTTCCTAACCAGGTCTTCACGGGAGAGGACCCCAATACAGCGCCGGATGCTGCTCACCCCAGAGCAAGATCCCCGACGGCTGATCAAACCAAAGCACGAATCTGGCCCTGAACTCGAAGTTAGAAATGTCCCAGGATCCATTCTGGCCCAAGAATGAGTTTTCTGCCATTATCGGTGCATCTACTGAGAACATCTTCTAGCTCCCCTCCCTCCTAACCAGGAGAAAACTGACCTTTGACCAAGGCCAAGGACGTATTCATTCAGAAACTATTTGCTTTTCTCAGTAAAGCACTTGTGGAAATGACAAAACAGGGAAAAAAATATATATATATTAGTCAAATGGACCCAAGCTTCAAGTAATTACTTTCAGAAAACTCATTAAACAGTCAAAACCTGGCCCAGCTCACTCTCCCGGATCACACATTATGCTGACTCCGCTGAGGTTTCTTTGGTGTTCTGTTTAAATTACTTAATTATCAAAACTCTCCATCTTTGGGTCTCTGAGCCAGTGCTAAATAACAAGATGAATAGATGCTCTGAGACGAAACCAGGCAGCCTTCCTCTTACCAAGGAACCCAAAGAGGCCAGAGAATATCTCTTGATCTCAGGACTTCAGCAAATGCACAGAGAGGAAAGATGGACAGGTTGATGATTTAAAAAAAAAAAAAAGAAAAAAAGAAAATCCTGACGGGAGGCACCGAGAGAGGAAACCAAAGCAGCCGGAACACACAAGAGCCCAAGAAACTTCCCAGAGTTGAGCTGACCGCAGACATTTTGCCCAGCGCTGGCTGATTACAGGAAAGGAATGAACCGGAAACTCGCACCTCTGCAGCTTACAGTGCCCATTTGCTGCTCATGAGATAATCAGCGGCCACATACACAGGCACATGCTTTCTGTATCTGCTTGACCTTCCAGGATGAAAAGTAATTGACCTTGATGTCCTAAACTACTTCTTGTATTGAAAGGCGTGACCTTACCTGATTGTCACCAGAACACCATGATGGGGGTACACGACCGCCCCATTTGATTGACCAGGCAAGTGGACACCCAGCCAGCTATGAGAGATTGGATTCCACCTCTGCTTAGCTCCAAAACTGGGGCTTTAAAGAACAATGAGAGAGCTGGGCGCAGTGGTACACACACCTGGGAGGCTGAGGCAGGAGGATTGCAAGTTTGAGGCCAGCCTCAGCAATTTAGCAAGGCCCTGAGCAACTCAGTGAGACCTTGTCTCAAAATAAAAACTAAAAAGGGCTGGGGATGTGGCTCTGGTTAAGTGCTCCGGGGCTCAATCCCCAGTACCCCCAAATAAAGTAAAATAAATATATAAAATGTGTGGTGGTAGTGGGGGGGTGTGTGCTTTGCGTGTGGTTTCTCAGGGATATTTGGGGTCTGGCTGAGTCAGGGAAGGTTGATGGAGGGAGGGCAAATTGAGCCAAGTCTTGAATTTTGTGTAGAATTCAAATGGGAAGAAAGAGCTCAGGGGCCTTGGTAGCCCTGATAATAGATAATCACAGCTTCTAGGTCCTGAGCATGTCGTATGTCTGAGCTAAAAGTTCCCCAGCCATTATTTATCTCTCTTTAATCTTTACAATAACGCTCCGAGGTTTTGGCAACGACACCCCCCACCCCCGCCCGGTTTTTCCAGATACTCAGTTACTGGTTCCAGAGAAGTCAAGTCATTTGTCTGAGGTCACACAGCCAAGGAGCCGAGTCGGGGTTTGAACAGAACTACCTGACCTAGAGTTCCCGGAGGCTCTGTGTAATCAGCCTCTGATTGTTTCCACTCCGACAGGCGACAGGCGGCCAGCCTGGGTGTCTGTCTGTTTTAAGTCTTGTTGGAAGTGGGCTTGGCAATTGGAGCAAAGTTCAACTCATTTTCTTTCTTTCTTTCTTTCTTTCTTTCTTTCTTTCTTTCTTTCTTTCTTTCTTTCTTTCTTTCTTTTTTTTTTTTTTTGATGGTAGAAAGTAGGGCCTGCCGTGAGCTGGACATAGAATGGACACACTTCAGCTGTTTCCGGAGGCCCAGGCTTTGCTCAATGATAAGCAGGGGGGACAGACGCCCAGTGAAGAAATGCCACTCCAGACGCATGGAGCTCTGACTCAAGGTCTCTGCCCGCTGCCTGGACTCTGCTTGGATGCGCCTGAAGCCATGTAGACAGCCGGATTTAATCACTGCTCCCATCTCTGACACCTCCCAGACATGTCCCCGGAGCCCCTGTTCAGGAGGAAGCATGGGGCCGTTCACTTGAGCACCTCCCCTGCTCCAGAGCATCGACCTTGAAGAAAGAGCCAGCTTTGGACGAGGCCCGCTCGACGCAGAGAGGTCCCCAACCCAACAGCCGGAAAGTCACCCCCAGTTCATCCTGAAGGTTATGGGTCCTGAATTAATAGGAAACTGCTCTAGCAGGCACACTGCTAATTGGAGCTGAAGCTGAATGCAGCTGACCTGGAAAATTCTCTCTCCTCCATGACCCACTTAGAACCCCCCAGCCGTCCCGGCAGGGCAGGCTTGGGAAGGGGAAGCCCCTGAGCACGCATGGAGCACCTACTGTGTGCCGATGCCACACAAGGAGCTTCCTGTTACCTGACCTCACTGAAGGCTCTCCAAATCTCTGCTCAGTGAGGACTTTCGTCCCGTTTTTAGAAATAAAGAAACACGGGCCCAGAGAGACACGAACGAATTTGCTCCAGACCGTGCACCTGAAGAGTGAGAGGATAAGGATTTGCAAAAGGTCTCTTCATCTCCCAAATCCCCACACGGTCAAAGTCTTCTTTCAGGGGGAGGCCAACTCAATGCCAAGAGGAGCCGGGCTGGTCACGGTGCCAGCATTAGTCCTAGTAAGAATGGGACAGAGTGCTTGCCCGGCTCTGGTCTCAGTGATTTGCAGGTATGAACTCATTTCATCGTCAAAGAACTCTACGTGTGGTGCTGCGGTTATCCTCCATCCGCAAAGCAGGTCAAACAACTCATTAGGTTAATAATGCTTGGACCTGGATTTGAACCCAGGGAACTGGGCCAAATGGGGTTTTTGCAAATTGGAGGAGGCGTGTCTGGTTAGAAAGGAAGTAGTGGTTTCCGGTCCGGCTGAATGAGGCTTTGCAGGCGTGACGGGCCAACGTGACAAGATCTGATTTTTTTTTTTTTTTTAAGAGAAGCTAGAAAGGGCTGGGGTTGCTGCTCAGTGGTAGAGGACTTGCCTAGCACGCATGAGGCACTGGGTTCGATCCTCAGCCCCACATAAAAATAAACAAAATTCTGTCCATTTACAACTACAGAAAAAATTTTTTAAAGAGAGAAGCTAGAAATCTTCTTATTCTAAACGTTGGGAATTACTAAACCAGGAAAGCTCTGTCTATGGTTCCTTTCACTACGGCCCCAGTAAAAAGACCACAGTGGTCTCCAGCCTTGGGCTGTGCCCTCCAAAGTCCATGGGCTCTGCTGGAGCTCTTCATGAACCCTGGCTCTCCTCTGTGTCCCTCATTTTTTCCGGTCCCTGCCTCACACCCACAAAGAAGATGTTTTCAACCAATTCACTTTAGGGGTGTTGGAGACACCCGTGGCTCCCCCAGGCATGTTTGCACCTTAACCTGTGGCTGAAACACGGGGCTCAGGATGTAGGTGCGAGGAGACAAGGTGCTCTTGGGCTAGAGGCTGGCCCTGCTGTGACAGTCTGAGCCAAGCCTCAGGTGGATCTGGCTGATTGTTCCAACTGTCCTTCACCAGGGCTGGCTCTGACGGGGGCCAGGAAGAGCAGGGCTGGGTAGGGCATCGCCAAGATCCAGGGGCACAGGGCTGCTGCACTCAGACCTGCAGATGAGCCCACCGTGAGGCACAGCCGGGGTCTAACCTGGAGAACTCGTCGGCACCCGTGGATAGGAGGAAAAAACCCTTCTGGGGGGTGGGGTACTGGGAATTGAACTCAGGGGCACTCGCCCACTGAGCCCCATCCCCAGCCCTATTTTGTGTTTTATTTAGAGACAGGGTCTCACTGAGTTGCTCAGAGCCTCGCTGTTGCTGAGGCTGGCTTTGAACTTGCCATCCTCCTGCCTCAGCCTCCCGAGCTGCTGGGATGACAGGCGTGCGTCCCGGCGCCCATCCACAAACTCTCTTCAAAGGCCACATCCTTGGGCCATATTTCCTGAGGTTCTCATGGTATCGCTTTTGCACTCCCATCGGAGTTGAAAAACTATTTCTTTTGGACGTGTCGAGAGGGAGTGGGTTTCAAGCCTTGTGGGAACTTGGCGAAAGATTGTAAATACACAGAATTCATCTCCGGGGGAGGCTGAGCCCTTGCATTCTATAAAAGTCACTTCAGGTCACTGATGGCTCCAAAGGAGGGGACCACTCATCTCTAGTGTCTCACACACATCACCACGAGCATGTCTGAGTCCAGAGGATCCTCACCTGGAAATGTGCACCTGGCTTTGGTCGCAGGTGCACTCGGCATAAGCAGCAGGTGTTTGGCTGTGCCTGCTCTTTGTATGCTGGGAGTTGGAGGGGGGATGGGGACTTGGGGACACTGGATTGGGGTCAGCTTTTCTACAGGATCCCTTCAATTCAATACTGCTTGGTGTTTTCTTGGGACACGCTCTGAGTATTAACTAAGCACACATGCAGTGGAGCAGGGCCAGGGACACCTAGCCATGCCCCTCCTGCATCCCAGCTCTTCACAGTACTGCCCCCTCGTTCATTCACTCATGAAGCATCCCTTGGGCTGGGCTGGGCGCTGGGGGCTGGGGGCTGGGGGCTGCTCATCAGCAAGACGCCATGACAGGCCCTCCTCTCTAGAGCTCTGTGCAAATAAGGGTGAGCTCTCTTTCCTCTGGGAGGTAGCAGCTCCTCTCCAGGGCTCTCTGATTGGCAAAGGAAGAGGAGGAGGGTTTGGTCTCTGGTCCCCTCTAGTAGGACACATCCTGCATCCTGGTAGGTGATGTCCCGGCCACGGGCTTGAAGGGCCCTACTCACCCCTTTGCAGATGGCCACGGCTTCCTTGGACATGGACTTTGGATAGGCCACATTGTGCTCCATGATGGACTGGAAGAGTTCGTCCTCGTCCTCCCCTTCGAACGGTGCCTGTGGGGCAGAGGGCCGGGTGGGAAAGGGATCCCTGCCTGCACCCTCCCCCGGCTTCTCCCAAACAGCAGGTCCTCCTCCCTGGGCCCCAGGTGAGGCCCCTCTCCAGGACTTTCAGGAAGATGAGAAGAAATGTCCAACCAACTAGGATCACCCCAAGGCCAGGGAGGCAGAAGAGGCTCAGGTTTTTTTGAGCTGTCACTGGGTTTGAACGAAGCCCCGCGGCTGGGAGTGGAGGAGAGCTTTTTCTTACAGATCACTTCAAGTTCAATTACCTGCCCGGCCAACATCTCGTACAGCAGGACTCCGAAGGCCCACCAATCCACGGACTTCCCGTAGGGTTGGTAAGCGATTATCTGGAAAACAGAAAGCAAAAGTCAGCAAGGCTGGCCGTGCACGTGGCTGGACGTGGGACTCACACCTCCTTCACCCTCAGAGTGGACCTTCCCTAGAGAGTGTGTGTGTGTGTGTGTGTGTGTGTGTGTGTGTGTGTGTGGAGGGGGGTTCTTTGGCATGTCACCTGCTTATTGTGAAAGATGATAGTAGCTGTCACAGTCCCCAGAGGCAAACCAGGGTCTCAAAGATGCAAGCCAGGCCGGTGCCCACCTGAGCTACTCCGTCACCTTAGCTACCCAGGGAATGACAGGCAGAGTGCTTCACAGAGGCACCTGCAACTGGGGGGACATCGGTGCATGTCACGTTGCCTTTTTTTTTTTTTTTTTTTTTTTTTGAGCACTGGGAATGGTGTTGTAATTTTTATTAATTTATTTATTTAATTCCAGAGCAGCGTGTACGGCCTTTTAAAGAGGAAAAGCCATTTTTATTTCTCATTGTACAAGTCAAGTCACTTACACAATAACGTGAAGACATTTCACACCGCTGGACTGCACACTCAGATGGCCAAGATGGTAAATTTCATGCCGCGTGGTTTTAAAATCACAATTAAAACAACAACAACAAAAAATGTCTCGAAAGTAATGACGTGTGTTCCTATTTACCTCGATAAGCTTAAAGAATAAAATGTCAAGAGAAAAATCAGGACTCCTCCTCTCTGGTCCATCTCCTTCCTAGCTCATGGGTGGTTTTGCATAAGCAGAAACACTTTAGTAAGTGGACCTTTAATCGGGTAAGCTATTCACTTAAGTTTTCCTTGCTAATATTCGTACACTGACATCACTGGTTTTTATCTCTGAATAGGATTCCGCTGAATACATATGCCAACATCTACCTTGTGGATTCCCGATATTTTAAAGTTTCTTCTGGGGCTGTAATGCGTATTCTTATGACTAGTTATTTGGACGTCTCTTCAATGATTTCCAAACATTAAATTTCTAGCAGTAGAATGAGAGAGACCAGATGGTATGTGCAGTTGTAAGGGGTTTGGTGGTGAAGACCAGACAGCTGTGTGGACAGAGCAGCTGTCAACCTTTCAGTATGTAGGAGTGTAAACATGACGGGGTCAAAGGGGTGAAGAGGCGATAGAGCAAAGGTAAAGCGTGGGGGTTTGTGGGTCAGACAGTCTAATTTTGAATCCCAATTGCTATTTACCAGTGGTATAACCCCCGGCGGAAGTTACTTCTTTAAGCCTCAGTTTCTTCTTCTATAAACTGGAGTTTACCATGACCTTGACTCCATGAGGTCTTGTGGGGATGAATAGGCTACCGGGTGCCTCTCACCGATGATGCCCTCACAGTATCAGCTTTTACTGGAATGTTCTCTAATCCAGTTATTGATTGTCTTAGTCACTAAAAGTGCCAGAGCCAACCTGACTATAAAGCAAATATCTTTCTCCAGCTCCATCTCTCACCCCGGTTTCCACTCCAAAATCAGAAATACAGAGAAGATGGTCCAAAGACACAAAATTTCAGCTAAAATAAGTTCCAGACACCTGTTTATTGTGCAGAGTGGTGATCAGAGTTAATAACGACGATTTGTATTCTTGACAATTTGAAAAACAAAGTGTCATTTTTAAGTATTCTTACTGTAAAAATAAAGGTGAGGTCGTGCACATATCAATTTAATCTGTTCCCTCTGTGTCTCTCGCTTCCACGATGCACCCACATTTCAAAACACATGGTAGGTACGTGGCGGATGGATGTGATTTTGATTGGTCAATTAACAATAAATAAGTGGAGAAAGAGGTAAGTGAATAAATAAAAGAGGCAGTCTGAGGAGCAGAAACAGTCTTATTGGATCCTCATGACCACCCCACAAGTCGATCCTTTTACAAAGGAAAACGGAGACGGGGAGGTGAGAGAAGACGTGGCCAGAGGCGCTGCAGTTAGCCACAGCAGAGCCTGACCTGGGGGAGGACAGGCCACTCATATTCCAGAGCCGCTGGGGCTTCCTGGTCCACGGTCCGCTCCCCTGGGAGCTGTGAAACCACAGGTCCTGCGCCCCACCCTGCAGAGGCTCGAATTCAGTGGCTCTGGGGGTGATGCCTGGGCATCCTCCATTTTAAAATGTGTCCCCCCACCCCCACCACTAAAGTGTCACTGGTGTTGGGTTCCAGAAATCACCAAGCTCATATCCAGGAATTGGGCTCTAGACTTGTCAGACGTCCCGATTAACTAAGAAAATGTTAATAGATGAAAGGAGGCCACACTGGGACACCTCTACTAGGCCCTAATAAAGAATTAATTTTTTAAAAAAAGATCACCTTGCTGTTACTCAAGGAATACACAAACATATTTGCCTTGTGGGAAATACAAACAGCCCAGAGATGGGTCAGAATCTCCCTTCACCATCCACTTATTCCCTGAGGTCACGGATGTTATAAACCCAACCTGTCATCTTCCAAATGTCCGACGCCTTAGCCTGCATATCTGCATCCTCACGGAAAACCTACAGATGGGCTCAGTGTGTGTCATCGTCATTGTCCATAAATGACATTGTATTGGATTCCCCATTCTCCAGTTGGATTCTTTTTTTCCTCTTAAGAATCTGGTTTTAAGATATTTCTGTATCTACACATAGATCTCACTCTTTTGAATCAGTGCCTAGTAGTATTTTATACTATGAATAAATCACAGTGGACTGTCCTAACCCTGTGGAGGGACATTGGTTCCTTCCAGGACATGCAGATGTATTTGCATGCACCCGGCTGTGTGGTCTGGTCTTCCTAGGGCCGTACAGGACTTCCTAACACGAATGGTGCTCAGTTGAGCTAATTATTCCTTTATCCATGGTCATTTTATCCCATCTTTCATGGTTAACAAATAAAGCTGGGATGAAGGAAGGACTTTGAACACACCTCTTTCTCCGTGTGTGTGTGTGTGTGTGTGTGTGTGTGCTGATGCGTGTCTGTGCGCATGTCTGTGCGCACGCTCACGCATCCAAGTCTGGTGTTTGCAAATTAGCTTCTTCTAAAAGGAACTGCTTTGTCACCAGAGCGTGCAGGTTGAAAATCATATGTCAACGTGTTTAATTACATGGGGACGCCTATCCCCACTGTTACATATCAAGTGTCTGGCAGTCAAGAAGAGGATTCTAGAATGTCTGTTTCTGAGACTCTGCGCCTTTCCTTTAAAAAAAAAAAAAGGGAGAGAAAAAAAAATCTGGTGACAGATTGCAACATGCCACTTTTCTAAGCACCGATTCAGAGAAAAAGGGAAAGGGACCGACCGCCTGGTACAAATTATTGTGCCTGGTCATGCTGGGAAGGTCCATTCACTGACCACTTCCTTCGGGAGGAGAGGCCGGCACCGCCAATAAATCTTCACCCTGGTGTTTATGTCTCTATCGCGGGAAGAAGAACCTGGAGTCTCCCAGGGTTTATGACAACTGCCACACACACACACACAGTCACAGCCCTGTGTCATATGTCAGCCCAGGGAATCTGTTCCCTGTGTGTCTCTCGCTGTCTCAACAAACGCTTCAGTGTCATAATTAGGAGGTATCATATGGCCACGAGCCATAGCAGCTTGACAGAGAAGCCTACTGATGTGTGTTGGATGGTTCTTTTGCGTTTTATTTAAATTCTCTCCTAAACCTTGATGTATTTTGGGCCTGAGCATCGGGATGTGTGCTCAGTTAATTTGCATGTGAGATCTCAGAGGAGCGATTCGGAGCCCAGGATAAGGACAAGACTGGGGCTTGCTTGCCAGGTACCACCCTCGACCCTTCCCAGCCCTCACGCGGCCATCCAGAGGTCAGCGGGGGACAGGGTCACGAGGTCCGTGTGCCTCCGGGGTCCCAGCAGCTCTCACCTCGGGGGCAATGTAGTCCGGAGTCCCACAGAACGTCTTGGTGGTCACGCCGTCCCAGATGTTCTCCTTACACATGCCAAAGTCGGCGATCTTGATGTGACCCTCGGAATCCAGCATCACGTTGTCCAGCTTCAGGTCCCTGCGGCAGGGGCGAGAATCGGGGGAGTAAGTGGAACGATGCTCATTTCAAGTCAACCGACTGCCACTCAGAAAACGTGGTGCAGGGTGGCGTGGGGGTACAAAGGTGGCCGTAAACCAGCTCTTGCCTTCCCCCCGGGCAGCTCACGATCTGGTAGAGAGATCAAAAAGAGGAGGCTCCCTCACCAACCTCTGTGCCTTTCTTCTCCTGCAGAGCCAGCGGGGCCCGGTGCCTCACAAAGACACAACGAGACAGAAGCTCCGAGAACAGAGAGATCCGCAGGAAGCTGACCAGAGGCAGAGTTCCACGAGCTGACCTTTGCAACTTGTGGACCCCTTACGTTTTACAGGAAGCTGCCGTTTCCATACAATTGTGATCTTTCAAGATATCTCTGAAGATCACGGAGGAAGACAACTGATTTGAGAGAAAACTCTCTAACTCCAAATGCTTCAGGATCCCCCAGGCTGATTGCTAGGATGGGGGGACCCAGGTGTTTCCATTGATTCTTTCCATTAAGAAAGAAAATATCTGCTGGATGCTTACTCCATGACAGGAGCCATTCTTGGAGCCGGGTATATGTTAGCTGGGGACACAATTAACAAGCCTGTTTTTATTCTGATTAAATTCTAGTGTGTGTGCGTGGGGAAAGCATAATTAATAGGTATTCAAGTGTATCATCATGATTGTTGTAGATTCTGATAGACGATAGGAAGAAAAAGAGGACCAAGAGATGGCCATGGGGGAGCCGGGTGTGGTGGCCCAGGCCTGTCATCCCAACTCGGGAGGCTGAGGCAGGAGGATCGCGAGTTCAAAGCCAGCCTCAGCAACTTAGCGAGGCCCTGAGCAGTGGCCAGTGGAAATATCCCATCCTGCTAGTCACCGTGATTGGTTCAGGAAAGGGACCGAATGGGACCCAATCTGCCACCACAGAAACACCTGGCACTTTTGCAGTTTCCATGAGGGAAGAGAGAAGCTCTTTTCACACTGGGATGGCTCAGGGGGGTGGAATTTGGGCCTAGAAGCTACAGGGGTCACCGTCTGCAGATGGGAAAACTATGAAGGCAGAGCAGAGCAGAGTGATCCAGGAAGCGCCATGGACATCGTTTGAACCACCGCATCCTTGACACCAGCCAATCAAGACCCC